CCAGCCGGGCTGCCACGGGCCTTCGGCGGTCCCGGCCTGGGCTCCCAGCTGTGCCCGGCTCCCCCCGGGCGCGGGGCCGGGGGCGCGGTCCTGCGGGACCCTGCCCCTGCCCCTGCCTGTACTGCTCGTGCCAAGACGCTGCCGCGATAGGTGCCCCTGGTAGTGGAGGCGCGTCTTTTCCTTTGATGGAGAGAGCGGCTCCATACCCGTCAGGAGAAGCCACAGATACCAGTCCCCGTTTGGAAACTGGATAGTTCAGGGATGCTCAATATATGCCTGGTGGGGGTGTGTATGTGTGGGTGTGTATGTGTGTGTCAGAGAAACACCTCGCTTTCTGTAGCACGAGTGATGTGCAATACAAACGAAAACAGCTTCTCACGCGGGGCTCTCACTCACTTGGCTTCTGCTGGGGCCTAGGAGCACTCACTGTTACCGTTTTTAAATAGATCAGAACTACCTGTAATCTCAAAACCCAACCCGAGTGTGTGCTGTTGCATTTAAAAGTTTACTCATCCCACGTTGATTCCCTTTGACCATTGGCTTGGACAATTTGCTATTGATCCGCAATGCCCACGTGGAATCAACGGTACTTGGGGCCAGCTCCTGGAAGGTATTGCGGTGCCTAACTCCCGTTGATTGCAGCGGTTGTTAGAGCCTAAGCACCCTTAAGGATCTGGGGCTTTGTATCCATGTCCTTCAGCAGAATGAGTGATTTTCACAAAAGCCTCATTCTGGTAGCAACAGCTCATTGGTGATTCTATTAATGTTGCACACCTCATTGAATAGCCCCAAACACAAAGAGGTTTTAAATGACTTTATTAAATTAAAAATAGCATAGAAAATCACCTATTTTACTTTCATCTAATAATTACTGTAAACTATATACATCCAGTGTGGCATTTCTCTAACAAACCTATTCATAAAAAGGGCAGAGATTTACTTAATACTGGTTACATTAAAATAACACAGAGCAGCATAACTGGCTTAAAACATTGAACCTCACTCATGCACTTCCTAATGTGTTCTTGTATGTTTCACGGAGTGTTTTTCTTCCTTATCTTTTTATATCTGAAGTTCTGTTCCCCCCACCCCCCCCAAATGTATTTGATCATTTTTTCAAGTCCCTTGGCTGAACCAATCTCTTTTCATGCAGAGGATAAAAAGAGAAGAACTTCAAAGTAGGTTCAGGTAATTAACAGCTGAGGGGAATATAATCTAAACCATAGGCCCTGCTTTGCACCCAGGTCTGCTTTCAGAGCCAGCCGGCAAGGGAGTGCCTATTCCCCATAGCATCCAAATCTGCTTCCTCTGAACAGCTTTGCCAGGCCTCCAGTTATCACATCTGCATTTCAAACACCGTGTCTCTGGCATTAATTATTAATTAGCCTACAGTCACCCCAGAGGATTTAAGTTCCAGCCTGCACATACTTATTCATTGACCTCTATCTTAGTTTTTGTTGGAAAAAACCCACTAGAATGCTTAATAATTTCCTTTCTCTCAGACCCTCTGTTCTAGTTTCATGGAGGGGAAACTGTATTTTCAGAGATGGAAAATCACAAGGTTGTCTAGAAATTTGTTTAGAGTAAAACGCTATGTCAAGAGTTTGAGCAAACCCTTTCAAAAGATTTAGAGAGAATTTTGTATAAGTATTTTTACCTTTGACAAATGAATTTGTGAATTTCCCAGAACTGAGAGATGGTGGATGCAAATACAATACAATTTAGCTTTATGTGGAATATTGCTATGGATTTTTTTTGTTTTGTTGTTTAAGACTGGATTTAATTACCGGATAACGCATTTATATGGTCAAACTACTGCTAGGATTTTAAAGCTCTGGGGTTTTACAATGCTATTGACATAACTAAGAATGAAAAATATTGTTGAAAAGAATTCTAGTTTTTATCATAAGATATGAGTTCTCTCCTCAGGAGTATGTAGCTCAAAAGTGTCTAGTTTGTTGTTATCCTACATAATTCTTAAATTAGTTTGGAAGATATTTTTAAATGTCCAGATAACAACTATATTTTACAGCTCCTCTTTCTTGACCATTATATACCTTGACATTAAACTCTGAGTTGTAAGAATACAGAGCAATAGGATAGGAAATGATTATATGATTAGAATATTATCTACTTAACCATCCTGATTGAAATGGCAAGTGATTGTTATAGTAAGGATGTGTTGTATACTGTAAACATTCTTTTTCTAGTGTATTTTTTAAATTGAAGGAGTCCTATATTTCAGTTTTCTGCACGCAGTATACATGGATTGCTTTCCTTAAATGTTGCCATGTTTTTTCATTTTTGTATGCTGTACTATTTCAAAATACTATTGAAACATAAAATATTGCTACAATTTAACTGTTTGCTATAGGAGGGTTTAGTGTGTAACTACAAGGTCAGACTAATTAACATGTTTGGCAGTTTTGAATTGATTTTTGAAAGCATTTAATCTGAGCATAATACTTTTTTGAATGTCTTTTTAGTAAACTCTATACAATGTATATGCGTGTGTTTATGTAGGCTTGATATACAAATATATGTTGCTAAGCCAGTAGGCTATGTCAATAAGGGTAATTTAAAAAAAATTACAGCTAAAATACCCCCTTTTAATGGGCAAAGGATGCGTATCAGGTTCAGTAAACTATGACCTTAAAACAGATTTAGGGCCCAATCCTGCCATCTTTTGTCTGGGGAATTGCCCATTGACTTCAAGGAGAATTTTGCCTTTATACATGATTTCAGGATTTGGCCTATTAATGTTCCCTTGTTAATTAATCCGTGTCTCATAAACAGGTCTGGAAAGAAATCAGAGTTTATCTGCTCAATAGTAAATGCTCGATTTCAAGTCTTTGGGATGATTCTTACATACAAATGAAAAGCAAAAGTACCTGAAATTACCAAATAAGAAGATGATTATTTAACATCAACATCTCAAATTATTTCTGAACAGGAAAGTTATGTGCTTAGAAAAATTACAAAATAAATCAAAGCTTAATGCTGAAAGGGGGAGTACTTCTGAATGATTCTAATTACATGTACGGACGGCATTTTCTAATCACTTCTCCAGAGAAACTAGTTTTGTAACATCTTTGAAACTGGTTCTTTACCTATTTCATTCAGTTCTTTCATGGTTGTGAAACTTGGAAGTTAAGATTTCCCATAGTGTGAATATTAAAGAGAAGAAAAAGCTTAATTTCTTTTACCAGGAAATGGAGTGGGATAAATTATGGAAAACAAATGACAAAGCAGTGAACTTCAGAACGGCATCTCTAGAATATTTTAAGATTATGAATAAGCTTATTGGACATCAGATAGATTTAATGCATTGAAAACTAAGGATTTCAAGTTCTTGGTGCTGTTGTGACACACCTTAGCTACTGTGTGTGGGGATTTGACTCGCACCACAAGGTAGTTGACTTCTGCAAAATGACCTTTGGTAAATAATAGAGTTCATCTGTTAAGGTGGGCGCTGACATGACATCAGCCTGTGTGCTGGAGGATACAAATAATTTGCATGCAAAGGGTAAGAAAGTGTCTCAAAGGGCAATAACATTAACTAACATAGTCCCATGGAAGTAATCTCTGCATGGGAGGAGATCAGGTGTCTGTTATCAGAAGGGACTGTAGCTTTCAGGGATGTTGTGGTGTTTGTCTGAGTTTACACTATATCTATGTGGTAACAGAGAGGAGTTCCTTTACATACAGAGAGCTCTTATTTAAAGAGGGTTAAATGCAAGAAATTATACCTGAGTTCCCTCTCTTCCTTGTTTTGTTACCTTTCCTTCTACTTCCAATAATTCTCACTCCATTAGTTCTCTTTTGTTTTGTTTATTTCTTTAGGATTAAAACCTAAATAGACCAATATAAAGAGACATTTGGTATCTAGAACAGCCTAGGGGCCTTAGTCTTTTGCATGGAAGAAGATATGACTGTAGAGGTTGAATTGCACCCACAGCTTGCACTAGGCTGGGGAAATAGGCATTAATTAAAACTAACTCTTCCTAATTTTGATGGAAGAGCATGATTTTTTTCTCAGCTTTTTTTCCACAAAGCATGTTTGTTAATGTTATGACCAGCTGTAGGGTATGCATGGTCTATCTCCTAAGTCCAGTAGAGCTCCCATTACAAAGCCCAATAATGTAAGTTTTAGAAATATATTTTGTGGTTGTGGTGAGAGGAAAGAGGGTAAAATGAGTTAATATAACTTTTTT